TGTCACATGTTACTGCCACGCCACCATCCAGCCCCTGTATAGATTTTTAATATAGGCACATCATGTGGTATGGTGGAAAAGAGATGAGGCCAGAAATCAAAATACCAGGGCTTAATCACTGCTTTTGGTAACTGGGATAATCAAGCTTAGACATTCATTTCATTTGAAAAATAATGCCTGTCCTCTTGCCTTAACAGAATACTGGGCCAGTTGGTGGCCTGATGGTTACAGCCACTGAAGCCCACATGGCTGACTGCACGGTTCAAGTCCAGTTCAAGTAACACGCTGGGTGCATGCGCCATCCCTATTGATTCTTCCTTTAAGTCAGCGTCCTAATTTACTTTGGGAAATCCATTCTCCTTCTTTTGATAGAATAGCCACCAAGAGCCCTGGACCACCCATGGTTGTGCTGATCAACTGACCAAACTGGGCCCTCTCTTCTGAGACTTTTATTTTTCAGTGGGAAAATGCAATAACGGGGGCAAAAACAGTACATTTTTTTCTGGCTACACAGCCCTAAAGATTGCTCAATTAGTTCTTTTTACACAGACCCGAGGGCATCCCTGGCAGGGCAGGCTCTGTGCTGTGATCAAGCTATTTTTATTTTCTTCCTGAGCATGTACGAAATGACTGCAGAAGTGACCCATGCCACTATCATAATCAGGCCCTAAAAAGTCTCACATGATCTTCTCATTCTCACTCTGGGCAGCTGGGAGTAGTCTCGAATGCAGCAGAGCCAAAGCTCGGAGATCCCTACACCACCAGTTGGAAGGGAGCTGCCCCAAAGAACCTCTTGGCCCACATGCACGCCATGAGGTCATAACCTGTCAGCATGGCAGTCGCTGGGTTCAGAGCTTGCTGGCACAGAAGCTAACAGGTCACCCTGCAAATACTGTCCTTTCCTGAGACCGTCTTCCAGCCTTCCTTTCAATTCTGACATCCGTCCAAAGAATTCCTCTTCTGTGTAAGTTAACCAATGTCTCTTTCTATTGCTTCTCTTTCTAATTACAGCCCCTGATTAGATCTGTCACTAGTGATAATTTAAACGAGCAAATCAACAGCTACGACCAATGAGCGAAAACCATATTAATCTCCCATGAGACTGTAGATGGTCGTTGCGTTGACCCTTTACAAGTCAACAGACGGAAACTCATCACTAACATCTGAGAAGCACAAGTAAGCAGGGGTTAGGTTCTGCCCACTCTAGAGAGCATTTACTACCGCTTTTCTCTCCTGTACACTCTGCTGGACACCGCAGGCGTAAAGAAGAATGGGACTGCTCCTTGCCTAAGCAGAGCTATTAAGAAGCTCCAGCTTTTTTTTCTTTCTAAAAATTATTGATGTAATTGTATTTGTTATTATTGCGATTATTACTTAATTTGCTGCAGGGCATGTGCGCTCACCAGAGAGAGAGAGAGAGAGGGGGAAAGTGAGAGATCCAGCTGCCAGGTCCAGGTCAGCCATGTGGGAGTGCAACGCTCCCATCGCCACACCATCTGTTGCCCCCAAGAGCCTCCCAGCTTTGCAAGAAACCAAGGCAAGCACACACGCAGTCCCCGTGTTACTGCTCATTCGAAGCTGAACTAGAATATGAAACCAATGGGGTCTGGCCTTAGCTGCTTTGATTTTATATGTAGGGTCTTTTAAAAGTTCATGAAAACCATACAGCATAGAAAAACTGCACAGATTTCAAAAATGTTTGCACTGGTACTTTAGTCCCATTTTCCACTCATTTACATACTCTTCCTGGGTGACTCATCTGTCCGTTGCTGCCTCATCACTCCTGATTCTCCACTCTGCTGTCATTCATCCTCACTTCTCCATGGAGAACCAGACTGACACTTCTAATTGTCAGCAAAACGTCTACACCTCGGTGTCCGACAGACATTCCATATTCAACACGTCCCCAAACAAATTAACCTCCTGCCTCCTCAACCTCCTTTTTATATATATATTTTTTTTGAATTTTTTTTTCTTTAAGAGGATTTTGCTATAGGGCGCATGTGCTCGCCAGAAAGACAGAGAGAGATAGAGACAGAAAGCGAGAAATCACCCCCCCAGGGGGGATGGCCACACCGCAATCCCTTCTCCTCCATTCTCCTCTCAGGATCTTGGGCACGCACGCACACGCGCCCGGCATGAGTTTAAGCCGCCGGGTCCGAGACTTGAACCACAGTCGACTATGTGGGAGCCCAGCGACATAGCCATTACGCTAACTGCTGGTCCCATCGACCTCCTTTTCCACCCATGTCCTCTCTCTCAGTTGGTGGGATATCTTCCTAACCAGATAGCTAGAAGTCATGGCGTCCATTTTGATTCATCCGTCTCTCTCTCTCTCTCATTTCCTTTCATTTATTTATGTTTTAAAGTTTATTTATTTATTTATTCCATGAGCAAGTGAGAAAGTGAGACAGAAAGACAGCGCGCCAACAGGGCCTTGATAACACAATCTGCTGCAGCCCTTAGCCATCCTCAGATCACAGGCACATGCGTACTCCATGTCCTCAGGGAGGTCTCTGGATGTGGACTCAGAATCTCTCATGTGGGACTGCCTCAGAGAGCAGTTATTCTTTGTCCAAGTTGCTTTGTCCCTTTGGGTCCAGAGGAACGTCCTTCGCACCCTTCAGCACACCCTCAGATGACAAAACTTTCACTCTATTCTTTCCCCCATGTTTGCAGAACAACAGGGGCCAAATTACTTAAAGTGGTTTTCACCTGCCCAAGCAATTACTTCTCTGCAAAGGGCTGCCCCAGCCAAATAACTATGTTTACAATTAGCTAATTGCAGGCTCAACGAGTCCCTTGTTTCTTCAAATGTGGCTATTAGAGCTGTGTGATTAAGCGAAAATTTATCTTTTTATGCCCTTCTGATCTACAGAGTTAAAGCACATCCCTGATCTGACCCCCCTATGTTCTGTTCTAATGTCAGTATTAGCCTTTTACTTTTTCATTTCTTTTTGGATATGTTTCCATTCCATTCCTATATATTTCACACTAGGCTTAAGGATTATGTTTAAATTAAGTCAACCTTCTAATACAAGGGCTCTTCAAAAAGTTCATGAAAACCTATCGATTTCAAAACTTTTTTGTATCTAAACAACTCACACTTTAATGCCATTTTCCACAATCGTATTAAAGCCCCCGTGTAAGGCACAGCTTTATGACCTTCATCCGATTCATCAGCTCTAACACTAAGGCACCAGAACAGCTGTTCTGCCAAAGTCACACAATCATGATAAAGACAAAAACAAAAAGCCTAAATCTTCCCTGGGATTGAGTTTCCCATATAAGGTAAAAATCAGCCCTCACCTCACTGCCTTTAAAAGGAAGCACTCTCAGGCCAGCAGGTAGTGTAGAGGTCAAGGCACTGGATCCCACATGACTCTGCAGTTCAAATCCCAGACCCAGCAGCTTGAAAACTCACACTGGGCATGTGTCAATGCAACCCCAAAATTCAAAGAGGAGAATGGAAAAGGGATTATGGCATGGCCATCCTTCCGGGGGGTGATTTCTCACTTTCTCTTTCTTCTCTCTGTCTCTCTCCAGTGAGTACACATGCCCTATAGCAAAAACTAAAAGAAAAGAAAAAGGAAGCATCCTTACAGTCTCCAAATTGTTGTCACCTAGTCTCTCGGAAGCCACACACACACACACACACACACACACACACACAAATGCAATTTCTTTTAAAAATGGCTCAAGTATATACCTGAAATATCATTCTCCTACAACTAATGCAATTTCTTTTCTTCATTTCTGTGTGTTTTATTCTAATTTTCTTGTTCAACCAGCATTCTTATAGCATAAGATATGTGCTCAATTTTCAGCTTCAGATGAATTCAGCCCCAACCCACATTTCTCTAATTTATAGATGACAAAGAGTAGCTGAAAGTGATGAGTTCTCATTTATCAAGAAGTTAATATTAATAAGATTCAGATATATCTGCCTTTGAGAAAGTTTACTTTTAGGTTTCAAGAAATCTGCCTCCCGATCATGCACAAGAACATATCCTAGCAACTTTTCAGTGGGCACCTTTGACAATGCACTCACCTACAACATCTTCCCTTACAATTGTCTTAAGTATAAGTAGTTGAGTGAAGAGAGTCCGGACCTGACATTGCAGGAGATCCTGACACACCAGTAAATTGCTATCTCTCAGTAGGCCCTGCCTCCTTCAAAGGCCTCTGGCATTTTCTTCAATAGCATATAAAAAGACAAGTAAAGAAAAATAGAAGAGATTCTGCCATAGAGTCCAGACATCCGGTATATATTAAGTGGGGAAATACAGTGCCTCTCTTTTTCATCATCTGGTTTGCTTCATTCAGTGTTAAATCTTCCATATTCGTCTACTTTCTATCAAATGCCAGGGTCTCTTTCTTTTTTAATAGCTTTTTAATATACACTATTCCATTGTGTATATGTGCCACAGTTTTTCAATCCATTCATCTGTTCTTAGACACTTGGGTTGATTCCATATCTTAGCAATTGTGAATAATGCTGCAATATACATGGATGTGCGAGTATTTTTCCAACTGAGTGTAATCCTATCCTTTGGGTAGACAGATACCAAGGAGTAGAATTGCTGGGTTGTATGATTGTTCTATCAAAAAATGGAAAATTATCTGTTGACAATAATATGTATGGGAGAATCTTTGACTGGACTAATAAACCGTGCCTTACTGCTGGGAAAGTTCATTTTATATACTTTAAAGATGTAATTAAATGTAAAAAAGAAAAAGAAAAAAGCAGAAGGCAGAAATCAGAGTTGAAGGTTAAAGTGGAAAGGAGGGAGGAAAAGGAAGAAAAAAGAAGAAACATCATGGACCATGCTACAAAGGGGTTTTGGCCTTCAGGAAAGCAAGGCATAATAAATATGAACACTGCTCGTGAAGAGCATTTTCAGGGAGATGCACGAAGGACGAGCCTGTGTGTAAAACCTGCTGTTGTACACGGGAGTGGGGAGGCTGCAGCAGCCAGCCATCAGGAAGGTCCTGCTCACCCAGCACCAGCAGCTCCACCGAGTCCTCATTTTTGCCTTCGAGGTCGTCAGGAGTGGTGACAATACAGTAATAGAGGCCGCTATCTCCCCACATGAGTCTTCCAATTTGAAGATCTGCATCTGTTATTACAAAGAGAAGGACCAGCAGTTAGCATAATGGCTATATTGCTGGACTCCCATGTAGTCGACCATGGTTCGCGTCCTGGACCCGGTGGCTTGAAACTCATGCCGGGCGTGTGTGCGTGCGTCCAGCTGGATTCTGGAATTATTCTGGATTCCTGGAAATAAGCTGACTTCACCCGAGGTCTTCAAAATTCAAGTACTCAAATAGGTCATATCAGACTCTCGGGACCTTTTCTTATCCAAATCTCTAGGGAGCAGGAGAAAGAGAGGAAACTAATTGAAAGCCACCTAAGCTTGGTCCAGGGCACCTTCCCGACTCTGTAGCATGTAGGTAGACATCCCCTTTCTCAGCAGAAGAACCTCTCAGGAAACTTCGCCTTTCAGGTTTGGAGAAAGACCATAAAGGCCAATGTGGATGCTGGACTGAAGTTCTTTCTTTAGAAACCATTTCAATTCAGTTCTGGAAACAAGCTCCTGAGTCTCGAAGTCAGGCTCTGGAAAGGCTAATTCCAAAGCTCACCTCCGAATCTTCTCTACAGCCTACACCGTCCACCCTGCTCCACTCGCCACATGGTTACAGCAGCTTGCTAGGCTTTGTGATGCTCACCTCTCCCACAAAATCAAGGTCATAAAGGGGTGAGGGGGTGAATGGAACTAACCTCCCTCCCATTCCCTAGACCCCAAACACGGACATGATTACCATGAACAATCGTGATCTCTCTGCCCCTGTAGAAATCTCCCAGGGTGACCGTCGAGCCCTGTTTTGAAGCGACCACTCGCACAGTCCTCCTGCTGTCTAGACAGTCCAAGTAGGGGTCCCATTCCAGGTTTCTCTTGCTGAGAGACTGGGCTCGGGGAGAGGACATGCCCAAGGACTCGCCCATGCGATCCTGGCAGTAGGACTTGAACTTCCACTGCACGACTGCAGGCTGGTGGGAGGACGTAGAGAAGTGGCAGCGGAGCACCGTGGGCTGGAAGAGCATGGCCACCTTCTTCTTTTCGGGCACAGTGACCTGAAGGCCTTCAACCATGGCTGCAAAACAGAACAAACACGTCCAAGCTGGATCCATGTCCTGAATCTTGTCTCCCAACACATGGTCACGCCTTTCTGCTTCACTTTCCTTACCTATCCCCTCCACCCTGTGCTCCCTATCACTGAAATTAATGGCACTGACATCCATCTGGGACCAGCACAACAGTAAGCAACACTTCTTCACATACGAAGGTCCCAGGTTCACATCCTGAGGTCACCTGTGCACACTGGATATGCATGTGCATGCCCAGGACCCTGGTTTTGCTGAGGCTAGGGTGGACTGTGGCATGAAGACTTTGTTGGGATTGCCTCTCTTTCAACTTCTCTCTCAGAATAAGAAATAAACTTAAGAAAAAGAAATCCATCCAGGTACGTTGCCCAGAAACCTGCCCTCTCTCCCGATATCCAATCAGTTACTAAGTCATGCCTTCTTGCTCACTTACTGTCTTTACTACTTCTCTTTAACCCCACTACCACTGCTTTTATTTAGTCCTCTCCATTTCTTTCCTATAATATTACAGTACTCTTCTATCTGCTCCCTGTCTTCGGCCTGCCAACACCTAGCAATCTCCCTGCTATGACTCAGGCGTTTCTAAACCTGACTTAGGGCTGTCTTTCCTGAGCCCTCCGTTCACTCTCCATGATTTTTCTTCACTTCTTTTTTATCCTTCTTTCTTTTTTCTTTTTCTTTTTTTTGAGCACAGGACATACGCACTCACTAGAGAGAGAGACAGTGAGAGGGAAAGCGAGCAATCACTTCCCTGGGGGTGACCATGCTGCAATACCTCCTCCTCCTGGGATTTGGGGCACACACACATCCACCAGGTATGATTTTCAAGCTGCCAGGTCCAGGGCTTGAATCACAGCTGGCCACGTGGGAGTCCAGCACCTTCACCACCAGGCTACCGCTGTCCCCTTTTCCAACTTCCCACAACTCGGTTCAGTGGCTTCTTGTGATGTGGCTCTGACCCATCAAATTCATCACTTCCTCCCTCGTGCCATCAGTACACTCAGCATTTCCTTCTAGACAGTTACTGTAATAATCTGGCAAGTATTTGTTTTCGCTCCTGTCACCCCATTAGACCCGTCAGGTAGGAATGTGTGTCACTCAGCTGCCCTGGCTTGTGCAGCCTACAGGTACTCACCAAATATCTGATACGTAAGGACCATAAAGCCAGGAAGTCTGGGTTCAGGAGGAAATGACTTCCCTTCCAGCTGGTGACAAAGCAACAGGGCAGAGACGAAGGGAAAAGGTGCCTTTTAGAGAAATGGAAGATTTCGGATCAAAAGTGGTATACCAAGGTCAAACGCTTTGAAGGGTAATAAAAGAAGGGGGGCAAAGGCTAAAAAAAGCAGATGTGAAATTTGAGTGGTAAAAAGACCCAACTTGAGGCTTGGTGACCAAAAAAAGAGAGGGAGATTTCAGTGAGTGAGACCCAGGGGAGTGTCTGGGAGGCAAAGGGCTGGTGTGAACTCAATGGTGAAATGTAGAAATTCCAAGCTAAGAAATACAACTGTTTCAGTCGAACAGGAGAGGCAAGAGTTTCTCATTCGATTTGCAGTTGGAAGCAGAAATAGAGTTATGAGAGGCAGAAAAGATGAATGTGAAAACATAAGAGAGAGTTTCTAAATTGCCTAGTCAAGGTCTGGAGGCCTGGAGCAGAGATTCTCACCCGAGAGTCAGTGTGGACTTGAGCCATGTCAGAAAGCGCTGTGTCTGTGTCCCATAAGCGCTCCTGCCCTTCCTTTTTAGTTTTTTAGGTTTTGCCCTAGGGCGCATGTGCTTGCTGGAGAGAGAGACAGAGACAGAGAGAGAGGAACAGTGAGAAACCACCCCCTAGGTGGGATGGCCATGCCACAGTCCCTTCTCCTCTGTCCCCCTGGGGTTTTGGGTGTGTGCACACATGTGGCTTTCGAGTTGCTGGGTCCAGGACTTGAACTGTGGTCGGCCGTGTGGGAGTCCAGCTCGTTAGTCACTACACCACTCCCAACGTCTATTGCATCTATTTTTTTTTTGGAGAGATTTTTGCTATAGGGCGCGTGTGCTCACCAGACAGACAGAGAGAGACAAAGAGACAGAAAGCAAGAAATCACCCCCCAGGGGGGATGGCCACGCCACAATCCCTTCTCCTCCATTCTCCTCTCGAGATCTTGGGCATGCACGCACACGCACCCGGCGTGAGTTTAAGCCGCCAGGTCCAGGACTCGAACCGTGGTGGACTACGTGGGAGTCCAGCGACATAGCCATTACGCTAACTGCTGATCCCTCGCATCTATTTTTTTAAACTTGGGGTTCTCCTTCACATCCTTATCCATACCCTGAGTATTCAGGTAACAAACATGGGGTGGAGAGATGAAGGGAGCTCAGTTACCGGTTGTTGGGGGATGACAATCTCAGGAATTGTGCCAGTACGCTGAGCGGTTTCTGGCCACACCGCCCTTGTGCTCAGGTTCCACTTGGGAAGTTGCATTTCCTCGCCTTTCTAGGACTAAAGAAATACCAGCAAAGGAGGCAGGTGCAACACAACATTGTGGGTTTTGTGTGTATTGCTTAAGAGAGGGGGTTAAGTTCAGGGTTCTGTTCATAAGACAATTACCAAGAATAACCGCCTTCCCAGCTCTGTTGTGTTAATGAGATTAGGCACTTGAGCAAGCCAACAGACTCTTACGCATTATATATAGAGGTTAGTCAACTCTTAGCTGCTTCCAGGACACACACATAAACTCGCACTCCAAACAATGAGGAACACATTCTCAGACACACCCGCCCTTCTTATAGCCTTATAGTTAAAAGTATGGCTTTCTGAGTAAGTCCTATATTAGGCTGCAAGCTCGACTCCTTCCTAGATAAAAACGACCTCAGGCAAGTTGTTCAGTTGCGCGAGTTTTAGTTTCTTCACCAGTGAAGCCAGAATAATAGTGACTATATTACGGAGTTGTGTGAGGGTCAAATGAGATTGCCTCTTTTTTTTTTTTTTCTTTTAAAGGTTTTTGCCATATAGCACATGCACTCACAGGAGAGGAAAGAGAAGGAGATAGTGAGAGGGAAAGTGAGAAATCACTCCCCGGGGGGTGGCCATACACTGAAATCCTTTCTCCTCCGATCTCCTTCTAGGATTTTTGGGCACACATGCACATGTGCCAGCATCATTCTCTCTCTCTCTTTTGTTTTCTTTTTTCTTCTTTTCTCTTCTCTCCCTCCCTTTCTTTCTTTTTTTCCTTCCTTTCTTCCTATCAGAGAGATTTTTGCTATAGGGCACATGCACTCTCCAGAGAGACAGACAGAAAGTGAGAAAGCAGCCCCCCCCCCATGGGGGGGCTGGCCATACCGTAATCCCTTGTCTTCCATTCTCTTCTCGGGATTTTGGGCACGCACACACATGCATCCAGTGTGAGTTTTAAGCCACTGGGTCCAGGACTCAAACCACAATCGGCCATGTGGGAGTCCAGTGATGTAAGCACTATGCCATCTACTGGTCCCAATTCAGTGCCATCTTCAACTTCCAGGTCTAGGACGCAAACTGCAGTCAGTCACGCAGGAGTCCAGCACCCCAACCACCACACCACTTGGGGACCCCGATTTTGTCTTTTAAGAGCTTAGGATAATGCCCAGTAAACACACAATGGATGGAGCTGCTGCTGTTGTTACTATGGCTGTCAAGAACGGACCACTGACTTCTGTGAGCTTTGAACCTAGAACCAGGTAAGCCCAGATATCAAGGTGTACAGGGCAGAACAGGCAGAACCCACACAACATCGTTAGGAGTCCCACGGTGACAGTACTTGTGTGTGCTCACCACTGCGGGTTACCTGTGCACCTCCTGGGAATCAGAAATGGAGTGGCCCAGTGTGGGCGTACAGGCAGAACAGGCATGCACGTGTGCACTTGTGCACATACAAGTGTAGGCATGCATGCATGTGCAGGTACAGTGTGAGCCCTGGGACTCTACACTCGAGATAGCTCTGGGTAGCTGGAGAGGACAGGACTGGGGATTCTGGATCTTTGAGTTTTTTGGCATGTGGGGAAATAGAAAAGCAAACAACCCTAAGAAGTTTGACCCCAGCTCAGAACCCTGTGCTAGCGGAGTCTGCAAAGCTAATAAGATCATATAACTCATCTTTTAAAAAAAAATTATTTTTTCTTTTAATTTGCCATAGGGCACATGTACTTGCTGGAGACAGAGAGAGAGGGAAAGTGAGAAAGCACCCCCAAGGGGAATGACCTCACCATAATTTCTTCTCCTCTGTTCTCCTTTTGGGATTTTGGGCATGCACGCACATGTGCCCGGTGTGTTTCTCAAGCCGCCAAGTCTGGAGTTTGAACCATGCAGTTGGCCGTGTGGAATCCAGTCACCTTAACTACCACGCCACCTGGCTGGCCCAATATAACTCTAACTTTAAATGTCAGATAAAGGGCGCCAGCCAGTGGTGTGGTGGTTGAGGAGATGGACTCCCACATGGCTGACCACGGTTCAAGTCCCAAACCTGGCAGCTCGCTTTCTCACTCTTCCTCTCTTTCTGTCTGTCTCTCTCTGGTAAAAATGGAAGAATAATGATAATTTAAAATTTAAAAAAAAATCTTTAAAAAAATAAATGTCAGATAAAGCACATTTAAAATTTTAGCTTTTTTGTAGTGCTGAGCTACACACGGGATCTAATAAACTCACTCCTGTGGCTCCAACTACCAGTAGGTCTCAGACTCAACTCCCTTAAGCCTCGACTGCCTGGTTAATAGTTCACATCAAACACATCAAGCCTCCTTTGCCACATTCTTGCTTATAAAGTCATCGTCCCTCTACTCCCAGCTCTTTTGCCAGGATGGCACCTACACTATTGCCTCAGAAATATTAGCCTTGAGGATTTCCAGCCCTAACCACATTCCGTTGGTCACTAAGTCTGAACAGCTCCCAAACTGGATCCTTCTGTACTCCCGTCACCCCCTTAAATCCAATCCCTATTTTTGTGACCACATTACAGTTGTAAAAGGCTTACTATGTGTC